GCTTTTGTGCATATACATGTTTAGATTCAGTGAAGTGTGTGTTTTATGTTGTAGCTTTTTAAAGATATATTTTGGAATATAGTTTGGTTTAAGAAATTGTAGGATATTATATGAATTAATGTCAAAGGAGAGTTCATTCCTGTTTGTTGTTTGAATGATTTTCTTTAGCGGCATATCAACATCTCTATGGGTTATTCAATGCCGAAATCTAAATAATTTGAACAAAATTTTATGGCATCAGCAAAATATATTTTGAACACAATTTTATGTCTTCAGTTACAGAAATGTCAATCTAAAAATATTTTATGGCTTTAAATAATCTGAAAACGATTGATACGCCATAGAAAACAAATAAATCCATCACTCGATGAAAAGATCGATCCTGCTAGCCATAGACACGGAAATTGAGAAAGGGTGTGTACAGCACGGGAATAAAATCCCCGGAGAGGAGGAATAACCGACGTAAGGTTTTTTTCGATTTCAGTCACTTTCCCACCGCCGTAATGTATCTTCCCCATGCCTTTTCTATAAATACTTTCATGAAAATGGTGAAAACAAAAGAATTGTCGAACGACATGCGCAAGAAGATCATAAAGAATCACAAAGATGGTAAGGGATATAGAAAAATCACTCAAGATTTGAATTTGCTTGTGAGTACAGTTTGTTTTCACCATTTTCTTGCAGTAGTGGCAACAGAATAGCTGCAGTGTCTCAGAGCTGTTATCTAATAGCCAGTTGAGTGTCGTGCAGTGCTGTCATTGGTCGACATATCACATCATATCAATATGGGTAGGAATCATGACGACACGTCTCTTCTAGCATAATATTTGCATTGGTGTTAAATACTTTTGCATATGGGTTATTTTATTTATTGTTAATAAATGTTTCTCAAAACAGTGGTTTTAAATTGTCCTTCTATGTTTTGATCGACAATGTTCGTTTAAATATTTCCTATAAGTTTCGTTGAAATTGATCTGTTATTTTTAGGATATGAAGGAAAAAGCAATGTGTTAAATACTTTTTGCTACCCACTATATATATATATATATATATATATATATATATATATATATATATATATCCTTGATAAAATCCAAAATCTACAGTGGTTTTGGTCCTGACCTGATATCTCGACTTCAATTCACTTTCCCACTGCCGTAATGTAGCTTCCCTATGCCTTTTTTATAAATACTTTCATAGTAAATGTACTGATGACCTCTTCTCTGTGGTACCTAGACTCTAAGCGCATTATTAGATTGGGGACAAGATTTCATCATTTTACAGTCGAAATGCCCAGATGTAGCTGTAAGTTCTATGCTAACAGTTTATTCTATCGCACTTCTCCCTTGTGGAACTCTCGTCCGGCTTATTGCTTTCCAGTCAACTTTGATCTTCAAAAATTTAAATGCAAATTTATTGTTCTCTCTCCTTAATAATGTTATTCTTATATTCTTTCATACTCAGCCCCCCACCCCCGAGTGTTAGTATGTATGTTGCCTTACTTGGGGTGAAATGATTAATATATATATTATATTGAAAATTTAACATTTTTTAAATATTTACCTTTAACCTAAGTAGTGTTCATAAAAATAACCTAAGAACATTTCCTCTGATTGACAGCTTGAAATAATTAGGTAAAATTTTATTAAAATATACTAACGAATATGAAATTTCCTGTCTATATCTCTGTATTATGATCATTATTCGGACTGTTATCCTCATCTGCATTGCCATATTCACAATGTTTCGGCCGTTGTATGCTGCGGCCTTCTTCAGGTGATTGATATTTCGAATCGAACCCTTTACTTTGTCCACCGTATATATATGTCCGTGCTTAGAATATTGCTGCCACATATGATCTGTTGATCTGTATATATATATATATATATATATATATATATATATATATATATATATATATATCCTTGATAAATTCCAAATGCTATAAATTTATGTGAATAAAATTTTTGTCAGGAGAAATTGGGCACCTTTTTGACAGCATTTAAATATTAGGTTGGTGCAAAAATAATGACGTAAGAATGTCGTTTTTGACGTAGAAAAGTACGTCAAAAACGACATTATTACGTCATTATTTTTGCACCAACCTAATATTAATATGCCCTGTGCTTTATAAGTCCTTCATATTTTATTTTATTTTTTGTTTTAATAAATTCTTTCTGTCAATGTGTGCGAGCTCTCACGCGCATTTGTGTGTGTGTTATTTTATCAAATATCTCGCATAATTCACCAAAACTGTCAAAGTAAATTATCTACGCCACCTTTTACCAAACAACCAATTAACGAACTATAACCCCGACTCCCTTTAAACACAAACTTGACACCCCCAGTATCCGTTGACAAATTTCTCCTTTATTTACTGATAATTTGCCATCGGGTAACTCCCAACACATTTATTGTGACTAGTGTGATCTTGTTGTCGCCACATAAGATGTTTTTAAATTGAAACATAAAGAAAAACGGATTATAAGGACGAAAAAAATGAACATACGGTTGGGAATATTTTGAAGTCTCCACTTAATGTCATGGTTAAGAAAACAGAAAAGAAATAAAGTGACCACATTACAGGAGAACATGAAGGGTCAGTAAATTGGCCCTGTGAATTCGAAAACAACTAACGAGCCCTTTTAAGTCAGTTTCTCCAATAGTGTTATACCATAATACCTATTCTATTGTAATAGACTCTCCCACAGATAATAAGTAGTAGTAGCAGTGGCCAGTTGGGCTCAGTGGTGTTGAGCGAGTCAGTCGATGTCGGACATTGAAGTATCAACCATCACAACTAGATTGCTGCGTCATTAACTCTTATTTCAAGTTCCTAACGTTTTGTACGTCGAACCTAATTTAGGACGACTTAGTGAAATACAAGCCTCCACTGTGAAAACTACTCTACAACAAAAACAAAGCAAAACAAACCAGATATTTAAACGGTCACAATCCAATTCTAAGTACAACAAGAGTAGATAGGTTCGCATATCGCTCGGTTCACACTCCTTCGCATTCTTTTGAAAAGGAGTAGAGATTTATCACTTGTATTCTGTTTAGTATTGGGTTTCTAGTTCCTTCTATAATCTTCTCATTCTCTTTCACAAATAGCCAAAATAACTCATTTAAGCATTTAACTGCGTGTTTATGTAACATTTAATTGTGATTGACTGATTCGTTTTTTTCGGATTAAAATCACTTCACGAATTATTTAAAGCCAGGAAATATTTAGAGATTGTAAGACGTTTTTGGTGGTGGGAAAATAATAATGATTTCGTGACACAAGTTCTACTATTTAACCCATAGTTGGGAGGAGAAGTGGTAGATTCATACTTTTCCCAAGGATTTGCGCGTAAGTCAAAATAACAGACCCAACAGCAATAGGAACTCGATTCTCCGACTAACAATTCAAAGCTAATATCCATTACACCACCCGCACATCCAAGCTTACATCCCCTGGTATTCCCAAGCGGTCACCCTTCTAAGTACGAAGAAGGCTCGACGTTGGTTAATGATCGTACGGAAGCCGGTGTTTCAACGTGACGCAGTTGTAAGACATAATTTTGTTTGATGAACAGAAAATCGTTCCTGAACATCAAAGAACATTGGTAAGAGGTACATGCAAGTAAAATATTCTTTTTCGTCCGCGATCATGATTCACCACTCGCGCACCCAGAATTAAAATTTGAGCCACACTGGGAACGCCTTGACCATTTCCCGCGTCCCATTTGAAAAAAAAAAAAAGAAATGGCGTTGTCATGCAGGAAATTTATTGGTCGATTCCCTTGCCACCCCCGTAAAAAAATCTTTCTAACGTGTCATTCAAACGATTTGAGTAAAACATTGAAACCCGACACACACACACACACACACACATCTATATATATATATATATATATATATATATATATATATATATATATATATGGGAGGGGCGTTTATCACTTTATAACAATGCCTGCTACCTGTCCTGGTAAAAATAAATTCTGCTGAGTTACCTTTGAATACACACAATCTCAACGAAGCCTGAATCTTCATACACGTTTTCAGGGTATGTTAATCCAATCAAAAAGACTAAAGATAGTAGTGCAGCGTTCCCGTCGGACGCTGCCGATTGATCTTGGAAACGAAGAAGTGCTTCTAGTAGCTATTACAAAGAAAAATATGGAAAAATACCAAGTTGTTTTTGGTATATTTAGGTGTACGTACACTATTATAGGATTAAGGGTCTATCGCATTTGTTACCGAACAGTCGGGACAGTTCTGAACCTGGAAAATCAGGCAGAGATTTGAATTTTTGTTCTATGCTATCCTTCGTGACACTAATCGCGATTGGTTTCACCTGCTCACAATACACAAGAGCAACATTTTCCGGTATTACATTTTACTTTATTTCACTTTTAATCCTCAAATGCTAACACCTTTATACTTGCCATTACAAAACGAAAAAAAAAAAATCAATGATCATTTTTTTCAAATCTACGTCTTCGCGATGTTCCGCATCCATGAAGCTGCAAATACTTGCCTAAGGGTCTTTCAATTGTTCTCAATAAATAAGAGGCTCTGACTTGCGACAAACGATCTACTGTTTAGGGTTGAAGGTGTCAACTAAAACAGGCAGAAGTGAAAGCTGAAGAAAAACGATGACAATGAAAGGAGTGAGAGTGTGGCTTTTGCCAGTATCACACGTCGCTATCCGTGTCGGCCGGGATTTTTTTTTCCTTGCATAAAAACAGATGGCTGACAGCTGAAGAAACCTTATCACCCCAGGGGCAATTACAAACTCGTTAAGGCACAAATGTAATTATTATTAGGGGCATATTCCTCAGGCAGTGTCCTGTTCTGCTTTTTCTTTTTCTTTCGTTTTACTAATGTATCTCCTTGATTTAATCTTATCCTATTCTTGTTTTTATCATCATCATCATCAACATTAGTATCAGCAATGATAGTACTACGTCCCCTTTTTGTGGCCTTGTGCCAAACCAAGCTAAACTCAGATGATGAAAACTCTCTTCATTAAATATCTAAGCAACATCTGTCCGTTTTCATTTTTTACTTCTTTCTTTTTTTCTTCTCCCTCACTATCGATCTATCTGTCTGTCTTTAAAATCTTTGTCTTTTTTCTCCATGTTACACTTTTCCTCTTTATTTTATTTTCTCTCTCTATCTCTCTATGTATCTCTCTCCCCTATCTCCCCCCCTCTCTCTCTCTCTCTCTCTCTCTCTCTCTCTCTTTTTCTAGCTCTTTTATTTATTTAATTGTTTTACCCTTAATTTTTATTTCGTTCTCAAGACATACTTCATTTTTCCTTATTCGCTTTCTCTCGTTTTACCAAATATTTGTTCGGCTTGTCGTCTTTTTCTTTTACCTTTTGTTTCCTATATCGTTTTTCTCAACTTCTCCTCATTGCTTTTACTATATTTCATTTCTTTCTCTCTCTCTCTCTCTCACACACACACACACACACACGCTCTCTAATCTTACCTCTCTCTTTTTTTATATATCATTGTTATGTTCCTCTTTCTTTCATTTTTTCTTTCATTCTTTCTTTCCTCTGAATTTTTATCTATCCAGACGTCTTTCTATATCGCCTTCTTTCCTTCTTTCACAGCCCTTTTTGAAATTTCACTTTCTTTCTCTTTACTGCCTTCATCTTTCTTCTACATTCTCTATTTCTCTCTCCTTCCCCCCCTCTCTCAATATATATATATATATATATATATATATATATATATATATGAATGAAAACAAAAGGAAACCTATCTTAGCCGACGTGTTTCGCCCTTTAAGGGACTTTGTCAAGGAAAATGCAAGAATTTTGATTTGTAACAAGTAATTATATACAAGAGCAAAAATATTATTGTTTTTTAAGAATTTTTAAATTTAAGAACGTCCAACAAACAAACACATACACACACACACACACACACACACACACACAAACACACACATATATATATATATATATATATATCCTACTCTTCCTTTTTTCCTTCTTTCATAACCCTTTTAAAAATTTTCTTTTTCTATCTTATTACTCCCTTCATCTTTCTTCTTAATTCTGCATCTCTCTTTTCTCTCTCTCTCTCTCTCTCTCTCTCTATATATATATATATATATATATATATATATATATATATATATATATATGTGTGTGTGTGTGTGTGTGTGTGTGTGATTAAACTATTTAATTAAAAAGAGAGTTGCTACTCGAATATGAGTATCCAGCCGGATATCAACCGGCCTGTACATTCGAAAGTCTTAATAAAGTTACTGTTATAATGTTTATAAATATATATATATATATATATATATATATATATATATATATATATATATCAAAAAACACGAAAATTAAAACAATACATTCGCACCACAATAAAAGTTCAAGAAAAACCAAGAAACATCAACAGTCTAACCCTGTTCTGAGGAGGAACTGCATCTATGCAACAACGAAATTTTAAAGTAAACATGAGTTAAGTGAAAAAAATAATTATTACTAATTCCATACATATATATATAATGGACTCTCCCCGGTCGGTTTCGACGTATGAGGATCTGACAGCTTATTGAGTCAGATATGAAAGTTTGTGCGATAATCTTAAGTGGCATTTAAGACCCGCTTGTGATTTACAAAGGAGGCCACATATGGAGCAAGTGTGAGGATTGTGAGATGAGATCACTGTTAGATTGACTGACCTTTTAGATCTTGCTCTCGCTTCTTGAAGATGATTCAGACAAGTAGATTGAAAATTGCTGAGTCCCCTAAAACACGTTGATTTCCATTCTACCCGCTCTAAGGCTGAGCGCTCAAGGGTGTTATGTGGTATATTGACTGATGACAAGTTGCTTTTCAGCTTGTCTTTGTATCTTAGCCATGGGCATCCTACATTTCTGTAGCCCTGATATAACTGGCTGTACATTAGGATCTTGGGTATCCTGTCATCAGACATTCTCAAGACATGACCAGTCCACCTTAACTGAAACTGTATGATAAATGTCTCGATTCCACCAATATTACCCCTGTTAAACAGGTCTACGTTAGATGTCCTATCTTGAAGGTTAACTCCACAGATTGTACGCAGACAGCTTTTGTGAAAAACATCTAGCTGGCGTATATGGTACCTGTATGGAGTCCACGACACTGAGCCATACAAAAGGATGGCAAGTACAACAGCTCTGTAAAACGTGAATTTTCGTATCCAGTCGAATACCCCGCTCATTCCACAAGCGATGGCGAAGTTTGCCGAAAGCACTGGTAGCCTTAGCAATCCGATGCATGATTTCATCATCTAAAGTTCCACTGTAATTGACTTTGCTACCAAGATAGGTGAAAGACGTTACATAGTTCAGGGGTTTGTCTTCAACTTTCAATGCTCTCTCTGGAAATTTGTAGACTGGTGGTTTTTGTTTCTCACCACGCAATTGTTTCGGAGTAGGACAAGGGTGGTGCACAACTTCAGTTTTCTTTATGCTAAGTGTAAGACCAAAGGCTTTACATGCAGCAAAGAAACGATTTATTGGATATAACCCAGGGACTACATGTATACTAAAATTAATATTACTTATTTTTATTAATATTTTATTTTTTGTTACTTTTCCTATAAAACTATTGTTAATATTAGACTGTAACGCATTTCACTTTTTTGCTAATCCATTATTTACATCATTAGCATTTTTTATATTTAACCATTATTATTATTATTGCTTTGTTTTTTGTCTTTTTCTTTTAGTCTTACAATTAGTAACGTGCTTATTATTTACTTATTTATTTTATTTACATTTACAAGTATAGTTACGTAAGCATCTGTTGATCTTGCGAGATAAAGGTAGCACCCTGTTTGGTCAAAATTCATTTCTTTGGTGGTAAGGATTGGGTGACCTCTCCAGGGCGCACACCTGGGCGATGGTGTATGGAGGCTGTGCTTGCTCAGACTACATCGCCTCCCTCTCGGCAGTATCGACAAGATCCAAAGGAATACAGCGTATTACATTTGGGGACGGCTTGGCTGCAGGTGTTGCCGGAAAATTGTCAATGCTGACAATCAACCAACTTCGGGATTCCATTCCGGGTTTTTTTATTTGGACTTCTATAGTCTTTTCCGTGTTTGGATATGACCGCAAGGCATCGGAGGTTTAAAATCGGGGTTTTCTTTCCCTTAGAGGAACTCCTTTCCTGAGCTGACGAGTTACATGTACTCGAATAAGCTGGTTATGAGGCGTCAGTTTTCTGCCGCCGTACACTTTCCGGCTTGGGGCTGAACTTAGCTATCAGACGCTGTTTGAGATGCATACCACGAAAGAGTTTTATAGACAGTGGAAGATTCTCCCTACGATCACCCCTGGCTATGAAAAATATTGTAACATATGTAATGTACGAATTTAAACATTTTATACATTACGTATTTTAGAAGCTCCCCCAGAATTAATAGTTCTTTCTAAATATATAAAACACTAGGTAAAAAGACTACTAGAAAGCAAAACAAAATAAGAAATAGTATATAAATAGTATATAAATAGTATATAATATATAAATAGAATATAAATAGTATATATATAAATAGTATATAAATAGTATGTAGTATATGAATAGTATATAGCATATAAATAGTATATATATAGTATAAAATAGTATATAGTATATAAATAGTATATATGTAGTATATATATATAAATAGTATATATATAGTATATAAATAGTATATAGTATATAAATAGTATATATATATAATATATGACTAGTATATAGTATATAAATAGTATATAAATAGTATATAGTATATAAATATATATATATAGTATATGACTAGCATATAGTATATAAATAGTATATAAATTGTATATAGTATATAAATAGTATGTAGTATATAAATAGTATATAGTATATAAATAGAATATAGTATATAAATAGTATGTAGTATATGAATAGTATATAGTATATAAAAAGTATATAAATAGTATATAAATAGTATATAATATATAAATAGTATATATATAGTATATATATAGTATATAAATAGTATATAGTATATAAATAATATATAGTATATAAATAGTATATAAATAGTATATAGTATATAATAGTATATATATATATATATAGTATATGACTGGTATATAGTATATAAATATATATATATAGTATATATATATATATATATATATATATGACTAGTATATAGTATATAAATAGTATATAGTTTATAAATAGTATATAAATAGGCACAGAGATTGAAAAGTTTGTTAATTTAGAAATAAGATTTCAGAAACAAAAAATGAAGATATTAAACTGACATTGTGTCACATTTGCTTCCGACGTGAACGCGTCGATAAATAGTCTCCCACCTCCTACGCCCTTAAAACAAACCTCATACAGTAAACATCCAGCTAGAGTGGCTGTTGGGCATTGTATTAGGAGAACAATAGTATAAAACGACCCTAATATCTTTTCTCCATAATCAGCTTCCATTTTCTCTGCAATGGTTGCTTTTTTTTTTTTGTACGCAACGAAAAATGATTAAAAAAGTCATTGCCAGTCGGCAATTTAAATATTTATGCATGTTGAGTCCCCTTTTTGTTTAACAAGAAAGAAAATGATGTTCATTCTACTGTAAGGATTAATAAGTATCTGTTAGATTAGGCCAAGCACAAAGAGATCATATTATTAGGATTCCAAAGATGAAGCGAAATCAATCGCCGTAACTTAAATGTCTATCAAGTTAAACTCGGAGAGTACTCTCTTGGATAAAGCAATGCAATTAGAATAATGAAGTAAGCTCCCTTTAAAGAAACAAACCTGTTACCGGGAGAGATACATAAAAGAGAAACCCTACTCCAGTTTTTATTACAAAGGAAAACATTAATTAACTCAGTGATTCCCATTGTTTATGTGATAAAAAGAACATTTAGAAATAAAAAAAAGTAGAGAAAGAATTAATTCGAAGTCAGAAAATGATCATTGATAACACTCTCCTCCAATTTGAGGACCCTAGTTACTATATTCTTAATACTGGATATAATGCAAAAATATCAGTCAGTTATGTGCCATGAGTGATACACGCTTAGGCGATCATGTACCTTTCGATACATGACTGACTTTTTCCCCGCTATAGGTTGCCATTTCTTTCTGCGGTAGAGCAGTTACCATCCAAGTTTATAGAACCCGTTCTCTCCTGCTATTTACACATAGCTGGAGGAAGATTAAGAAGATTTCACAATGATAAAATCAGTCAATAATTATTTCTAACTATTTATACTGGGACTCATACATGCAATGACAAGTAATCCATAATAATATTTTAAATTTTGAAATCCATATTTATTTTTGTCATATGAATATTTGGAAACTGTTTCTAAATCTTTGAACGTCTTTCAATTATTCCGCCTCACATGCTATCCTCTTCCGCCTCACCTGCTATCCACTTCCGCCTCACCGGCTATCCTCTTCCGCTTCACCTGCTATCCTCTTCCACCTCACCTGCTATCCTCTTCCGCTTCACAAGCTATCCACTTCCGCCTCACCAGCTATCCACTTCCGCCTCACCGGCTATCCTCTTCCGCCTCACCGGCTATCCTCTTTCGCCGCGCCTATGAGGCCATTAATTGTTTGAGAACCACTGAATTAAATCATGAGTTAATTTCAGTCGTGTTTATTACCAACATAGCTTTGAAAATTCCAACCAAATTCATTCAATCTTATTCACACACAATCCAAAGAAAATACAAAAATAGTAATAATGGTAATATTAGCCGTTTCCTTATAAGGAAACATTAGGCATTCATTGACCGAGTAGCCGAAAATCATGCTTGAAATTGTATAAAATCTTTCTATTAAAACAATCTTTCATGTTTCTCGCGTCGACTAATAGTTTATTGCTCTTTCTAGCATTGATGGGAGCTTCCTTCCTAACCTTTTGTTTGAAGTAGTGTGGAACGTCAACATGAAGAGAAAATAATGACATCATTAAGATGTTAACGATCCACATTATTTATTCAAATTAAATATGTTATCCATTTTAGTCGCTGCCGTTGTTGGGAGTTTTCAAGCGATGAGCTTTCTGTTATTTGATACAGTTCTTTGTGGATCTGTAGCGCAAGATCTTGAGGTTGGAAGAAGAGTGGTCCTCTCTAAGACCTACATGTTTCGGTTTTGTAACAACTTGCGATGTTGGGGGAAAACTACCCCTTGCGCAGTCAGTTCTGTTTTCAATTCATTTATCTCTTATACTAATTTCTTTATAAGTGATCCATACACCAAGGTATTTGAAATTTATAAAAGAAAAAGATATTACGAAAAACAAACTGATAGACGGATAGTAAAATGTGGAAATAAAAGAAAAATATGCAGACAATGTTTAGGAAATGAAGGACTACATATGTTTATAAATCTGCAGAATGCCATCTACTCCCGTGACCTGTGAACGTCCCCCACCTAAAAAAGCCCAAAACAGAAGTACTGAATAACGTAACTTATGGGTATTGAAAACCCAGAAAATTGATTTCGGGCACCTTCAAAAAGGCATGAATCCACTTCTGCCCTCGCTCTCCCCTATTGCTGGGTGCCATGACAAAAATGTATAGTCAGAAGCTTGACATGATGGATAAAAAAAAGACCAATACACACACGACTAAGCAGGAGCAGCGAAAACCTGTTACCGCCATATGCAACCTCGACAGAGCCTAATTATGTTAAGAGGATAATATATTTAACGCCTTTTTAACCATAAATTCAGATGGAATTATGCCATTATTCGCTATAAGTATTTTATACATTTACATTCGGGCTAACATACATTGGTTATAATACACAGGACGTTTCGGCCTGTTGTAATCTACGGCCTTCTTTAGATGTCTTTCGTTCTCGGTAACGTTCTTTAAATAAGAACAAATAATTAAATAAATCCATAGGTATAGATTGTTCCCATTCCATTTTCCCTGCTTTGGGGATACAGTTAATACTGACAAGATATCTTCTTCTATGTGCCTGATCCCTTCACGACGTTGGCGACCATGGCTTTCCATACTTTCCTCTCTTTTGTTGTTCTTAATAAATTTTGTCTTTTTGTTATCTCTCCTAAAACCTTTTCTGTCATCCATTTACAAAAAAACTCGCTAGGTAGGTTAAGCCTTGTTTTCGTCTGTCCCTCTTGCCTTCAAGAGCTTTTCTAAAGGTTTATTATGTGTCCTAGAAATTTCAACTGTCTCTTCTTAACGTTAAATATAAGTACCCTTTTTGTTTCCATTTTCTCTAAAACTTCGTCGTTTTTCACATGTTTGGTCCATGGTATTCTCAGCATCCTTCTGTAGAATCACATTCCTGTTGCTTCAAGTCTCTTCTTCGTGTGTGAGAAGATTGTCTAACATTCTCTGCCATATAGGAAGACTGATATTACATCAGTTTAGCACTCTTTTCTTTGTTTCTAATGAATCAATTTTCTTTCTTAATACTTTGCTTAGATTTTGGAAGGCATCTTTCATTCCAGCAATGCGCTTTCGGATTTCAGTGTAACATTTTCAGTCTTAAATTAAAACCCTTCCCAAATGTTTTTACATTTTCCTACTTGTTAGATTTTTCGTATCTCCGATTCGTAATTTATGTTCTTGTTAACATCTAGACATTCTGTCTTCTTACGGTTGGCGATTAGTCCTTTCTTCTCGCTTTCTTTTACTGTCTTCTCTAGGAGCTCCGACAGTTGCCCTTTCTCTGTCTGCAATCAACATTGTGTCATTTGTATGTCATTTTGTGTCCAGTAGGACTTCTAATTCACTCGGGATAAGTCAATACTTGTCAATATATGACAATGAGTTATACTCATCAAATCTTCTTACAATTGATGGTTACCGTCTGAAAAAGACAACTGACGATGACTGGGGATACAACAGCTGAAACTTTATGAGTATAATAACCAAGATGAGGATCCTAATCTGAATCGAATGCTTATAATAATGATGAGAAATTATCTTAAATATTCTGGTAGAAATCATTTGGTAGATCTTCGACACTAAGTTCCTATGCTAATCAATATGACAAAACCAAACAACTGGAGTAAAACATCTGAAATAATTTTCGTTATCTTATAGCGAAAAGTCAACTAAATTTTCTTTAGTTAAAAAAAATAATATGAAGAAAAAAATCACCATAACATCGAACATCCAGACTGTGAAAACATTATATTTGCACATACACGTATAATCAGAGTATACAAGCCTGACGCCTTTTTTTAAATAGTATTAATGTTTGCGTGAATTAACGAATGCAGCCAACGAATAGAAGGCTACAGGCATAACCTCTGGAGCATCAAGTGCTGAATTTTGCATTCAAAGAGAAAGAAGCCGATTCCAGGTCAGTACCGATAATTGGTCAAGCTGAAAATCGAGAATTTTGCCAAAGAAAAGATTCCTTAATAACACCAGCGAACAAAAACACTAATCCTGACTATAAAAGACACCGCCATCTTTTATTTCTTGCTTGTCTCATTCACCTGTGAGCATTTTGCTTTCTTTCTAATTTTTTCTTTTCTTTTCTTTTGCTATTGTTTTCATTCTCTTTCATGCTATTCTTTTCTCCTTTCTTCATTCTTTTTTATTATTTTGCATGCTCGGAGTCTTTCGATTGTTTCTTTATATAACTCACAGATTTTCTTCTTTCTTTCTTTTTTCTTTGTTTCTTTTCTGTCTTCTTTTTTCTTTTATTTCTTTAGATTTGATTTTATTACGTTTCTGGTTTATTTTTTTATTTATTTTTCCATTGATTTGGAAGGTTTTATTCATTCTTTTTTCTGATGATCTTTATATTTCTTTAAAAAAATTCCTTTTCTGACTGGATTTCTGGAATGAGAGGTTATCATTATTCACATTCGGATTATGGTCCTCATCTTTGCTGTTATTATCACCAACAAACAAATTATTATAAAATGAAAGTTAAAAGTCAATAGAACGAACGTAAATAAATTTTCATCTTTCTTTCATTCTTTTTTGTTCCATTCTTTTTTTTATTTCTTTATATCTATTTAATTTTGTTACTTTTTTTTTCTTTCGTTTTATATTTATTCGCGTTTTTTCTTTTATTCTATTTTTTCTTTTCTTTTTTTTTATCCTTTTTCTTATTTCTTCTTATTTTCTTTTCTTCGTTTTCCTTTTCTTGTTTCTCTTTTTCCTTTTTCTATTTTCATAATTCTTTCTTTCTTTTTTCTTTCCTTTCCTTTTATATCTCTTTCCAAGCTAGTATTTCTTCTACTTTTCTTATCCATTCTCTTATTTCTGTAACTTTTCTTTTTTCCCTTTCTCTATACCCCTCTTTCTTTCTTTCTTTCTTTCTTTCTTTTATATGTATTTTCGGGATAATATTTCTTCTTTTTTTTATCCATTCTCTTATTTCTGTTACTTTTCTTTTTTTCCCTTTCTCTATACCCCTCTTCCTTTCTTTCTTTTTTTTCTTTTTTTATCTCTTTTCGGGATAATATTTCTTCTTTTTCTTATCCCTTCTCTTATTTCTGTTACTTTACCTTTCTTTCTTTTATTGCTTCTCCTTTTCCCTTCTCCATTTTCTTCATTCTTTCCGTTTTTTCTTTCTTTCCTTTTACATCTCTTTTCGAACAAGTATTTCTTTTTTTTTTCTTATCTCTTCTCTTATTTCAATTAATTTTCTTTTCTTCTTTTTCTTCTTTTTCCTTTTCTTTCCTTCTTTCTTTCTTTTTTGCTTTCTTTCTTCTTACATCTCTTTTCAAGCTAGTATTTATTCTTTAACTAAAATTCTTCTGTTGGTGTTCCATTCTTACAAGAGACACCTGCTTCATACCTAATTGCTGCTTCCGGGATTGTGAAGAACTTAACCAATTTTTCTGCTAATCCCAAATCCTCATCCTCTTTTTTTATTTGTTTAGTTTATTCAGGTTTAAGCCACAATTGGAAAACACCCATTCAGGCTCAAAATCGTTACACAGCAGTAATAGTTTATTAAACTTGCATGTTAACCATTACTAAATGAGAAGTTTCCCATATTACGCTAATCTTCTTCTTCTTCTTCTTCTTCTTCTTCTTATTATTATTATTATTATTATTATTATTATTATTAAACTTGAACACCATTAATTAGTTTATTGCATTCTAATCTGTCATGATCGACATTAGGTCTCTCCTCGAACCAGTATCAATTCTTAGCAGATCCACATGATTTCGTTCGTTTGTATCCCTCTGTGTTCATTCCTCCATTGATATTTACACACATGTGTACATAGACAATTGCGCAGGCTTACATTTTTATGAATAAATATAAGAATCTTGAAAATAAAGAAGACATTTGCAGGGAAACATAATAGTATATATAAATACGAAAAAGTTATGATTTTACAGGAATATATCAATTAAACCTCCAAAATAATTGACTATCTTCCTGCTTTATCTGCCAGCCATAATCACCATTAATTATTCCCTCTTTGAAGCAATATAATTTCTTAATTCCTAATACTTTTGTCAGTATCCCTCGCTTCCATTTTCTATGTTTAGGCTCCCACAAGAGTACTTTACTTAATAGCTCTTCATTCATCCAAAGAATCGCATTTTTTTTATCTGTAAGGATTTTATCAAACTTTACAGTTTAAATGCGTATTATTTCTGATTTTTATATCCCAGAAAACTGTCTCTTTTTAACCACTCCTTTTTCTCATAAAGCTATTTTCTTTATATTGATATAAAGATCTGGAGATTGAAGGCTTTGAGGAGCGTGGAACGACCTTTTAATTGCCGTTGTTCCCTGGTTCACTCTGATCCGGGGTGGTAGCACTTGTTTGGGTCCCATCTATGGGCAAATAATGAATCGCTCCAAACAAAAATCAAAACACTAGGAAAGTATAAAAATACATTTTATAGTAAAAATACCAGAAATACATTTATATAAAAATTACCAACAATACATATTTATACTATAATTACCAACAATAGCTCAATCAGGATGAAAGAACATTTTCATGGCTTTAGTCCATATAATATTCTACAATGTCTTAAAGAAATCAAATTATGTTCCAAAATACAACTTTAACAAAACTACGATATAAAATACATATACCAGCGTCTCTAGCAATAATGTCCACACAAACATATATATGCACAAAAGCTGAGTGTCATCCACCATGGATTCACTTGTGAAAGCAGAATAACATATATTTTTTCAAAGAAAGCTCCAAAGAAAATTAAATCTCAGCATTAAATGACCTATAAAATGTTGATATATCGTTAAAGAAACAAATTATATCAAATCATTACTGCATATGAAGCCAATGTATCAGTAATGCAGGTCGATTTTGAAACTGTGGTATTGCACTCAATTTAAAAGTTAGGGTTTAACATGACAAATATTAACACAAAATATAATTTTCGAAATCGTTACCTTTTTGGGGGAAATCAGTTTGAAGATTAAGGTAATCCATATACTAGACCTCGCAACCATGCGACTGGAGTCCACGACTGGGGGCGGATATGTGAAAGCCTAAATTACTACTAGGAAACAATTCCTTACAACATTTTTAGCACGGAACCTGTTAGTAATATCCAGTAATTAGTTAATTAACAACTATATATAATATTAGGAAGCATCTTACAATTATTGACATAAATTGTTCCATAAATGCAAATGTACAAAAAAAAACAAAAGCACCATAAAATAACTAAATGCAAAATCAGTTTATTCACCTTAAATTAGAAAGTTTTAGATAATATTGCAAAACTAATGAGTTAATTTTTTTGTTCTAATTTATTACAGAATATATAATTATATAATACAATCAGAAACCAAATACAGCTTTTTACAAAATCGTGTATCAACAAAGTATGAAAAATAATTTTTAAAAAGTGGGAATTTCAGAAAAACAATAATTTTGATAATCTTTACAAAATTTGTGATTTTTGCTTCATTTACAATTTATTTCACAGAAAAAGAAGAAAATATTTATTTTACTATGATACAATTTTTATTTATTTATTTATTTATTTTTGTTAAAGCAACGCTTCAAAGAAAAGGCAACTTTTCTTGCCATTATTTACCTGTTATGTCAAACTGTTCATTGAGAATGTGGGTCTTTCCGCGTGGTGGACCTAAGATGGAAAAAAAGACGAGCATGCTATCTATACTTTTTTTGTACCGTCTTAGCTGAGGAGGAAGTGACGTAAGTCGTTAATGATTGGTCGCTTGTAATTTCAAGATCAGCAGTGGCAGTTACTTAATGTGTCCATTTGTTGCGTGCTTGACGGATTTTTTGTTTCAACATCGCCTACCCGAATAGTACTGCTTCAGTAGGGTCTCTTGGGCAAACAAGTATAATGTTGCAAGACCCGAAACTTGTCATGACCCCAAGTCATAACATCACTGACGGTCATATTACGTTGAAAGACCGGTCCCCGTACGATCACCGAGGTTAAGCAACGTCGAGCCTGATCCGTACCGAGATGGGTGACCGTTTGGGAATACCAGGTGATGTAAACTTGAATGTGCGAGTGGACTAATGGATAATGATTTGGAATTGTTAATCGGAGAATCAAGTTCCCATTGCCGTTAGGTTCATTATATTCACTTGCGCGCAGATACCCTTGGGAAAGGTATGAATCCCTCTCTTCTCCCCCCAGCTAAGGGTTAATTAGTAAATCGTTCTTCTAAAAGATATCTGACAATTGAAGTATTTTCTGGCTTTAAATAACCTGCAGTGAGTTGATATACTGTATAAAATGAATGAATCAGTCAATTTTCATTCCAAAAGCACATTTTATATTTTATTATTCTCCTTCGTTCCTTTTCTGTGAATGACAGCCAATGGAATCATTCATTGTAAGATTCTCTGATTAAAGCCTTCTAGGCATGAAGTCCAATTCTGAAAATGGATAAAGGTCAATTTTGAAATGTCTTGCACCAAGCTCACTATTAAACACTGACAGAACAAAACATTCGAATGTATTATAAGTTTAAATTTATTATTATTATTATTGGCATGGTGTAGCAATTGAATCTTTCATTCAAACAGTCATGTCTCTGTCGGTAGAGGCAATTTCCTTAATGCACGAATTTCGCCTACCATTCATAAGTGCCCTCCCTCTTCGCAAAATGACACCCCCAGTAAAAGGGAAAAGTGTTTATAAAAGAAAAAAAAACATTATACTGATTCTGATAACTCAAGAAAATGTAAAATGGTTTCTAACATATAAAATGATCAGACTAAAGCAATTCCTGGTAGGTGAGAGAGGAGAGGACGATGGAAGAATGTTTAGGATCGAATATCGATTGCTCGTCTTATTGTGAGGAGCAGAGATTTGATCTTCAGATTCTTTTCGCTTAACGACGAAGGCGCCAAATGATGGTCCTAAGCGCAACTCTTAAAGAGCAGAAAGTAAAAGAGAGGATTGGCCTTCTCGAAGATCGAACTTGGCGAAATCTGAGAAGTGACTATTTTCAGGATTCTTTTCGGTTTTATTCCATTTGTTTCTTCAGTTATTTAAATGTGATTCTTTCTTTATTGTCTGCGTTCTTCACAAAAGAGACATAACCAAGAGTCCGACAGTTCTTATTGAAATCCGTCAGTCAAAAAGGTTTTTCATGCCCTCCTCCTATATACTGTTTTCTTTTTCTTTTTTACTTTCTTCGGTTTTGATTCGAGTTAATTTCCCCTAGATTCCTAACCCGGTAAGCTGGTATCTTTCTTGTATAGTTTAATCCAAATGTTTCACTCATTTTAGATTCTTTCTTTCTTTTTATCTGCCATGTCCTTTCAGGACGTAGGCGATCGTGACTCTCCACCTCCCTCTATCCCTTGCAGCTCTCAACAATTTCCTTTCCTCTGCTTCCTCCCCCAGACCACGTTCTGTCATCCACTTGCTTAAGCCCGCCAGGTATGTCACATATTGTTTTCCCTTGTCTCAACCCGTGAGTATCAGATTCTCCAGGCCCTCCTTCCTCATTATGTGTCCCAAAGACTTCAGCTGCCTCTTTCTGATATTAATATATGCTTCCTCCTTGTTTGCAACGTCTCTAAAACCTCATCGTTGCTCAAACGCTCGGTCCATGATATCCTTATCATCCTTCTGTAGAATCACATCTCCGTCGCCTCGAGTCTCTTCTTCACCTTTGAGGAAATATGCCAACATTCGCTGACGTAAAGAAGAACAGATGTCACGTAACAGTTACTAATTCTATAACATTACTAACCCATTAACTAAACCTACACGCGTACCCAACCCAAATCTATCATACCTAGCTCCTATACTTCGCCAAAAATTAGCCTGCTTTATAAAAGCGAGAAATCGTTTGTAAAAAAAATCGTTATATCAGATAAATCTTTAAGTTTACATTTACCTTATGTACTTAATCAAACGAAATTACATAAAACAATTACTTTAGTCTAAACATGCATGTACACTCACACATATACATATATATATTAATACACGTACATGGACATCTTTGGCGTGGTGTAATGGTTAGCAAACTTGTCTCGCTAAAACCGTTCCGACTGAATAGTGAGTTCGATCCTCATTGGTGTCTCATATACCTTGTACCACATTTAAGCTGCGCTTAGAAAATCAACGAGGGGCACTTCGACATAGGGTTAGCATGCTTGTCTCGACCAATTACAAGTGAGTAATGTTCGATCCTCACTGGGAGCCCCCTACTTTCGGCCTTGTGCCATATCTAAGCTATGCTTGGAAAATCACTACACGTACATATAGTTGCATATATTTATCCATCTCTGATTTATAGGTAAAAATTGATCATGTTTATCCTTGAGTCTATAGGTAAAATTGATCATGTTTATACTTGAGTCAATAGGTATACATTGATCAGGTTTATACTTGAGACTATAGGTAAAATTGATCAGGTTTTATTTGAGTCTATAGGTAAAAATGATCAGGTTTATACTTGAGTCCAGCTCAAGATTTTTCGGCATTATATAATCGGCAGAGTTGATATGTCATTAAAACAGAACAATCAACGAATCTATCTACCAATACGTATAGACTCAAATTTAAACCTGATAAATGTTTACCCATAGACACAAGTATAAATCTGTATATATTTCTAAGACGTGGTATTGTAAATATTTACACTATTTATATCCTCCGGACTGTTGGCCTCATCTTTGTTGCAATATTCACGTCGTTTCGATCGTTGTACGTTTCGGCCTACTTCAGGTGATACCTGGCCGCAACAGAGGGGACAAAAAACTTGGAGAGTTGAGTTATTAAAGGGAATTAACTGAAACTCTGTTATCCCCCAAAAAAAAGGCATGGCATGTGGAATTAGAAAAAACTCCAGCTCCCCGTGGGCTAAATAAAGTGATCTGTTCGAAATTCTAACGTCTATCACCTGAAGAAGGCCAAAGCATACAATGACCGAGACGTTGTGAATATGACAATAAAGAACAACAGTTCGAACGATGTAAATATTCAACTATAAATGTTTATCCATAGACTCAAGTATAAATGTTTATCCATAGACTCAAGTATAAATGTTTACACATAGACTCAAGTATAAATGTTTATCCATAGACTCAAGTACAAAACCCATCAATGTTTACCTATACAGTCAGATTCCAAGGAGATATATTTCTTCTTTTGTTCATTCTCTTTGATTTTAATCGACAAGAAGACGTGGCCGTGTGCTAGACTAAACCAGGTTTCGCCAATAAATAACCCGCAGGCCGATATTTTGAATTTTGTCGATTTTTTTTTTTTTTTTAGGTGGGGTGTTTTGTATTTTTGCAGTATTTTTTAATATTCTATGCAACTGTGTAAAACCAGACAATTTAGACAGAAACTAACCGCGCTATCCGGACACTAAAGATTTTACAAGAACGCAGATGGAGGAAAAGAAATTGATATATTGCACAAAAGACTTATCCAAGCGTTAAATGCCTGTTACTGAATGAAACGAATCAACGTCTTTACCGGATGAGCTGTGAATCAGCAAAACAAGCAGTCATGGGCGGAGTGATAGTTTAGCCTTCATCACCGTAGACGTTTTATCGTAGCAGCAATAGAATGAAAGGCTGAATGCATAGAGTATCATTGCCGCTGTGATCTTTAAAGCTATTCTTGGCCTGCAATGTAAATTTGTCTCTCAAATAGATTTTGTGGTTAATGCGCCGAGTCGATCTTAGCCTGTCAGCCGGCCAAAAGGCAGCGGCCATTGCCAAAACAGCAATTAGATAACTTTGATTTCAGGATGAGGTTCTTTATCTTTTTGCATATATGTGTGTGTGTGTGTGTATAAACTGCCCATATATGTTTATATATGCATGAGTCCCGACGGACGACCAAGTATGTATATATGTCTGCATACATCGATGTTTGCGTTAGTACGATGAAAAAAACGACGAAGTTCCCCCCACCACTTCCACAATAACACCAATACACGCAATCTACATAAACCGAAATTTTTTAAAATATTAATCAGTTTGTCTGACGATCGCTAAAGCGTGAAACCCAGGGTCACAAACTCACATCTATCCAACTAAATATATATATATATATATATTAAGAAACGGACAAAGTCCGACAGTTTCTTTATTAAAGACATTTTTATGTTTAACGTTCTTTTTTATAGATACAAGTATTTAAGTAAATGCTCTGTTTATAAGCAGTAAATTCGACCTTGCCTACCGAACGCTTCTTTGTGGCCGAAAGGTTAGGCACATCAGCGTAAATGACGGTTCTGTATAGGATGCAAGTTCGAATCCTGTCAAAGGACGAATATTTTCTATGAAAATTTCTCGGACATTCAGGCCGGTAAATGTTATTTAATACTGTTTATTATAAACAGAGCATTTACTTAAATACTTGTATCTATAAAAAAGAACGTTAAACATAAAAATGTCTTTAATATATATATATATATATAATGAAGTGATGAATGTGTTATTGCCGAATTCTACGAGAACGTCTAAAAATGGGAGTTTATTTTTTTACGAAGTTCATAGGTAAAGTTAAGGACAGTTTTTTTATAGAATGTGGTTTTGAGATTATCAATTTCTTGTTTGTTTTCGCTAAAATAAAAAATATCGTCTGCATAGCGGACATTGTTTAAATACCGTGTTTTCTACACGGGACATATAGTAGTTAAAAAGCATGAGCCGGAGCGGGGAGTTCCCATACTGACACAATTAGTTTGGTATTATGATCGTAGAAAGGGACATTAGTTGTGCATACATGTAATAATTTTCCTGAGGATATTTCATTTGATGTATGCAGGTGTAGTTGAATAATTTTTATAAACAGAGTTAAGGATTATGTCGATGGTTTGATCAACAGGGACGTTTGTAAATGAATTTTCGACGTCAAGTGACGCTAAAATACCTTGGTTTTATTGCAATGTTTTTAGAATTCCCTTAGACATTAACCACTTCATATATATATATATATATATATATATATATATATATATTATTTATTTAAAAATATGATTCCAACACGTTACATAAGAGTTCTCATGTTTCA